ATTAAAAATTCTGTCGTATCAGTGCTTTAAATAAATAAATAAGAATATTAAAAATTTTTTTTCATTAGGTAACAATTGATAGGTAGGCTTTTCTAATAAACTTTAGTACAAAGTGCGTATGAAACAGATATTATCTAGGAAAATTTAAAAATTATAACTGCTACTAAGAGTACAATAAATATATCAATCTACAACAAATTGTTAAGATAACATGATGTAAACAACTGGTGCTGTCATTTCTGAAATTAGGTTTAAAAACCATACATTTATACATACAGGGTGCAACTAAAATGCTTGATCAAACGAATGATAATAAACATAATAAATTAACAGAAGAAGTTCCTATAAACCTGTGTCCTGAAATATTTCATTTGAAATATTCTTACAGATTGTACAGGGCTATTCACATAACATTCCACTCCACTTATCTTTTTTTAATTTTCTCTGTAGGAAAATGTGATTTTAAGAAATTTCCTCGTGATTTCAAAGAAGTATAAAAAACAATCGACTGCTACATTTCGAACATATAAACCAAATTTTTGTTTTTTTAAAAGGAACATAAATACACAATATTTGCTTTAACAGTTTGCAGTATATTTTGGTTTATTTACTTCCCGTCTATAATGGGCAATTTTAATATTGTCATGGAACTAGTGCATATTTATGCTTTTCCACTATTAAATTTACTAAACGCATCTTTAAAGATTTTATTAGGAAAAAAAATTGTATGCTATAAAAGATGTGTTATAATATCCCCATTATATTCAAAACAAATAATATTTGTTCATACAAACTTTCTTTGTGAAGGGATAATGATTCCTAAGAAGTCCTTATTTAACCTCCATATAGTTCTTTCTATGGGGGACTCCGAAGGATAAAGTAAACAAGAAATTCATATGATCTAAGAAAAGAAAGAAAAAATTTACTTAAAATATCAGTGAGGTGGATAACATGGCGTTTCAAAAAAAGCTTGTTATGTTCTTTGCCTAGAACTTGACAATGTGCAGGATCAATAAATAAACCAAAATACTGCGCAGACTAACAAAGCAAATATGTGACATGTTTGTATATATTATTGCAATCTGTAATAAGGGAGTTTTTCAAAATTAACAAATACGTACGTGGTGCTTCATTAAAAAAAAAACAAAGTTTAGTTTATACCTTCGAAATGCAATAGTATTTTTTTTTATATTCTTTTGAAATAGCGAGAAAATTTTCTGAAATTCTGATCTTTAGGTACTACATATATAAGAAGATAAAAAAGCGAAGGGAGGAAGAATGTTATATGAATAATCTTATATACAATACTACAAGAAAATTAAATATTTATTTAAAACTACCGAATATACAATATTTTATTTAATTCGCAGACTATTATCATTATTGTTATTGCTATTGGCACTGGTATTGATATTAGAATTGTTATTGTTCTTCTTCTTCTTATTCTTCTTCTTCTTTTTATTATTATTATTATTATTATTATTATTATTATTATTATTATTATTATTATTATTATTATTATTATTATTATTATTATTATTATTGTTATTGTTATTGGTATTGTTATTGTTATTGTTATTCTTATTGTTATTGCTATTGCTGTTGCTCTTGCTATTGTTATTGTGATCGTTATCATTACTGTGATTGTTACTGTTATTGTTGTTGCTATTGCTATTGTCATAATCATTGTCATTTTTATTGTTGGTATTATTGTTATTGCTATTGGTATTGGTATTGTTATTGTCATTGCCATTGTCATTATCATTAACATTAGGTATGATGATGATGATTATTATTATTATTATTATTAACTGTATTATTGTTACTACTGTTACTGTTATTGTTACCATTATCGTTATCATTGTCGCGGCCGTTGTCGTTGTCTGTGTCATAGTCGTCGTTGTGGTTGTTATTGTTGTTGTTGCTGTTGTTGCTATTGTTTATATTATTGTTTTTATTGCTATTGTCCTTGTCATTGTCACTATCATTATCATTGTCATTGTTCTTGTTCTTCTTATTATTTGTGTATTTCATAAAATTGATGGCAAATTGAAAATAAAACTAACGTTTCCTTGTGAAAGAAAAAGTTGCAACAGTCAAGTGTTTTTATTTAAGTACTGCTGTTAGGAAAGGCATAAAAGCAGAAATATGTACAAGGTGATTCAAATTCAACATCAAAAATTCAATGAAAGAACGTTTTGATTATAAACAATTGTCCGGAATTTGAAAATTACGGAGTTATAAGCCCTCGAAGAGGGTGGAAGTGAAAACTACTTTTTCGGTTATATCTTTCCAATGCCTTAAATCTAGTGGATTTAAGTCTGACGAACTAGCAGGCCAATGAATGGATGCATATATGTACCTCTTCTAAACCATTTGTGTGGAAAATGTGGGCACTAACTTATGTATTAAATTGCCCCTAATTTTCCAAACTCTATATAATATATTTGTATCGCATTTTTAATATCTCTATATGTACAGCGTTATCCAAAAAGTTTGCACCATATGGGAAAATACTTTATGTATAAATTTAATAAGTTCCTTCTATTGTCAGTTGTCTCTTCATATCATCAAATCAAAATAGCGCCCATCGAACCTCATAAAACATGTGTTATATACGAGGGGCAGACGAAAACTGTAAATCGGCCCAATAGTAAAGTACCTTTATTTTCAACCCTAGCGGAAAATGTTATAAAGAAAAGTTATTTCCCTCTAAAATGTTAGCCCGAATATAAAGTTTCAGTTCATTATGTTGAAAAAGCGATTCCTGACATTTTTGCAACTATCCGTCGTATTATAATGCGATCGAAAATATCCATTACTAAAGTCACGTTTTTTAGAACGCTTCTACAAGAAAAACTTAATAAAACTTAATTCTTGAAAACAAATTGAATCAGGAACTAATAAGGCCTTTATTAAAAATGGCGTAGAAAATAAGAACAAAGGTGCATATTTTATTTTATGTTCAAGAATAATTTAAATGTTAATGTTAATATAACTTTATATTCTTATAATCTTCTGGAGGGAAATAATTTTCCTTAAAACATTTTCTTCTATTGTTGAAAATAATGGTACTTTGGCCGATTTGTAGTTTTCGTCTGCCCCTCGTATATAACCAACGTTTTATGAAGTTCGATGGGCGCTATTTTGATTTGACATGCAGTGACAACTGACAATCAACGAAATTTATTAAATTTATATAAAGTTTTTTCCCATATGGTGCAAACTTTTGGATAACGCTGTATACCTATAATCGAATGTATAAAACGCAATGGTTTCAGAAGCGGCTGGTATGATAAAAAAAAGTTAACAGTAAGACTTCCAGTTAGAAATTATAAACGACACCGTGTATCAGAGATACGTCAGTCTTAATAATTTTGTCCAATATCAATTCTGATTTAGGTATTAACTTCTATGAAAGGAAGCAACAAACTATTGTGAAATCTTCATCAAACCATAATTTATGGACACTATAATGAGTATCTACCTAACAGGTATTAAAAAGAGACGAAACTATCCTCATGTTCCGTAAGACTGTTAAGAGACACCAATCTTACCTGTTCTCCGTTATCCCATTGGTGTTTCCTTTTTCATGGTCGACCAGATCAAGCCTTTAAATAACGTACTTTGACACGTTACTGAGGTTGCCATATTAGTTTGGGTGTGACAACCTCATTTGGAAATAAAAGCAATTATTTATATATTTTATTATATATATTATTTTGATGCACTTGAAAGTCGATAGATGGGGGTAGGTAACTTAAAACTACAGCAAAGCTTTCCTTACACACTGCTTAAATACGACCCTATTATGATTGCATATAACTATTTGATAAAATCGGCTGTGCCAATCTTTTTTTGTTTTTTTCCTTTTATTTTTTAAAAGCTATATAAATTTTATAATGAGCTTTTCGTAAAATTCTTCTCAAATGAAGTTGCATATGCTCTTCGATGCTAATAACCTAGCATGCGAAATCACTGGTAATTTTCTGGTGAAATGATGCTAATGAGAAAACGCATATCAAGGGTGTATTCTAAATATTTTCAGGAAGAATTAAACATTTTTCCAATTTGTGAGGATATAAACTCTTGTATTCTTCAATCATCATTACTTACTTCCTAAACTTTTTGACAAAGCATAATGATTTCAAAAATTACACAATAATTTTTTTATATATTTAATTTCAGAAAAAAACCTTTTCTAATAATTTTGGTTTCTCTGAATACCAAATAATGTCCATCTAGATATGGACATAAGGAAATTTCTAGTTAAAGATTTTGTTAAAAAAGAAAGATAAATGCATATCTTTAATCAAATTATTAAAAACTTTATTGCGGTAAGTAATACTTATTCCATTAATAGCACTGATAAATTTGAATTCTAATTAATCTATGGAAGAAGCTCAGTTTAAAAAAGGCACCACCTTTGAAAAAAAAAATTAAAAACTTGAAAGCTGATATTGATTTTACTTCAATATTAATTTTGTCCGATTAAAATAACACCATATTAGAAATATATTTTTATAAATCATATAAGAAATTTTCTTAGGTATAACGTGAAGAAAATTTGATTATCACTCTGTAGTGACATCAATAAGTATTCGATAAATTGAAATGCTATATGGACAAAATAGTGCAGAATTTAATGTTTAGCAACATTTCACTGTAAAAATTACTGCCTCTTTTAATTTTAGTAAAAGAAAATCCGACTTAAAAAAATTGTTGAACCATTTTGACTAACTTTTTCTGTTCCTTTCATTCTTGTTTCTTTTTTAAGGAATATTTTCTAGACTTAACTCTTTCAGATGTACATATTTTGTATTGTATTTTATTTAAAAAGAAGTAATTGTTATTCTAATATATATGAAGGTCCAAAATTTTTTCAATTACAGATGGTTTTGGAAAAGAATATTCAATACTTTTAGATCAAAATGTTAGTCTGCACTATTACTGCAAAAAATAAAACAGGAACTGTAATAAAAAGACGACCATAAATAATGATTTATTGGTTGTTGCTCTTAGCATATAACTAGGTATACCCAATACATAATGAAGGTAATATTAGAATATTTTAGCATAATTAAAGTAGTAATATTTTTTCTTCAGTTTTCCTTCTTCATAAATCATCCGCTGAGAAATTTCCTGGAAAAAATAGTATAGCATTACTTCAGTATAATGGTAAAAATAAAAAATAAATGTTATTAAACTTAATTAAGTCTGCTTTTAATTAATATGTCTAGAAGTTACTAAACAAATGTGTGTGTGTGTGTGTGTGTGTGTGTGTAGGTAAATTTTGTTTTTAATGAAAATACAATTTTTTGCAATGTATCCGGTTTTTGTTTCTAATTTCTAAACGAAAATATTAAAATAGTTGTTGTTGTCATAATAATTTCACAGTAATCATCAATGTAGATAAGATGGCACTTACATTTGATATTTCATATCAATCGTGAATAAAATACAATTTAGTCCCCTGGTATATAATCCTTTATTCCTCAATGGATGGAGCTGTAAGTGAAATGTACAACTTATACAAATATTTTTTTTAATTTCACTATAAACACTTAAGTTCTATACAGTGCCAAAATCTACCTACATTGAAAAATATTAAATAATAGGGACATATTTTGTCACTGAAATATAATATGCAATAAATAATAATCAGGTGATAATTTTCACAGTAAATAATAGCAGCAGGTACTACCTGTCAGGTAGCATTAAAAACAGCAGATTAACAAAACATACAACAACCAGAAATTTTAATGTTATTTACTTTATTATTGGCCATTCCAAGCGATTAAAAGCAAAGGCATAGCTAACAAAAAAATATCTAAAATATCTAGACGCTCAATCTGTAAGCTAAAAATAAGTCTATGTTGATTAAGTTACTTTAACATAATTTTGTTTCCTTAAAAAGTTATTATCTACCCTGAAAAATGTTTTTTTGTGGTACGATTTTCTGGAACAACGACGCGACGTAAAATGTTTTTGCTTATTTTAAATTAGTGCTGAAAAAACGTCGTTTTCAGACTGCCGATGGTGACATCTTCAAATAAAGCTATCCTGGTCTGCTACGCGAAATGGAAACACCACTTCTAAATGTGTGCGAAGAGGGGGATACTTTGAGGGAGAAAAGGACCAATAATGTATGAAATTAATAATAAAGTTAAAAAATTAAAGTTCGATTATTATCCGAACAGACCTCGTATTTTGAAAGTGATTCATGCTTATAATAACCTACAGGTATACAGTTGTTTAGAACATATTTAATATTTGTCCTACGTTCATATAGAAACGTCCTTTTATCGAAGAGAATAAGACATTTGTAAAAAGAAAATCGAATGGTAAGATGTAATCACCATGTACATTTTGTTTCATAATTTTCCATACTTGGTATTCCAGACTCTTATGTAGAAGCGTAAAACTAAATTTGAAATACGTAAACTTAATAATGTAGTTTTCCTTGATTTTGGTCAATTGTCTCGAGCACTTTTCAACGTTATTTACTTGCTTATAAGAAGGTTTTATATCTACATCTTATTACAATATTTCAATTTCTCGTATTACGGTTTGGTTTCACTGCAGAAATTTGTCAGCATTTTCGGTATGAAGTTGGTTTACTCTAGAAAATTGGATTGGCTCGGCAAAATATGAGATCCCAAGTTTATTCTAGAAAATACTTTTCCTTCTTTATCTTATGAAATATATATATTGAAGTGTTTTGACATTCGATTTCACCATACCAATAAGTATATTAGAACGATAATACTCGCTGACTATTCAATCGATTTAATTTAGTTACAGGACATTTTTACCCAATATCTATATCTTCTACACGGTCTTGTACCAATGTATGTGTTTATTCAATATTTCACTGTATCTATATTTAATCTGCACTTGTACAGGGTATTTGTGGAAGCTGCGTTACATATTTATTGGCGATTATGTTGTGAAAAATAAGAAAAAAGTTGCTATGCATATCAATTTGAAAATATCAAATTTTAGAGAAAGGTGCTTTTTGATGAAAAAGGTGAACATTCTAGGTATTTGAGAAATGAAAGTCTTACATGAATGTCCAGCTGGATTAAAAAAATACCTATGCCATTTTAGAAAATTGACGGTATAACCGAAAGATTTTTTATTGTGTAGGGATACCTTACACAATATATTTTTTTTTTATTTTGGGGATTTTCAATAAAAGAGTATTACATTTCTGAAAATATGCAGTGGTGCTCTATTTTTGTTCTCTTCTCATTTGAATATGTCGTCACTTACGAAAAATTTTGAAATTATCTAAATTAAATTAACCGTTGAACCAAATATATCAATTTAGTGTTAAATTACCTACATTCGTTTTGTAATCAAAATATATTCTTGGTACAGACAGACACAAATAAGTCAGACTTACATGAGATTGAAAAATAACGCATTCGGTTAGAAGGAATAAGATGTAGGCGCGGTGATTTGGGGCTACATGGGACTTACTGTTCCCACGTCCAGCGCGTATTTTTGGGCGGAGCTATCTCAGACGCAAACTTATTTGTGTAATAACTCATTTTTCATACTATTATATTTTATTTGTATATTATTTAGGTAATGTTTCCATTGTCATTTCCAGTTTTACAATATTTAAACTTAATGTAACATAACATATTCTGATTATACCTAGATATAGACGATGGCATTTTAAAACGTGTGATTTTTATTTGTTGTTGATTTTAAATACGTATATGAATATATATTAGTAAGTATAACTGAAATTACAAAACTGTATTAGTAGTAGTAGATATTAGGCCGGTCAAAATCGACACAAAAAATCGCTAAATTCGCAAAACATGATGTATCTCTGATTTTTTAGTATATTGTTTGGACTCATTAGGGCTATGTATACCCAAGTTTGCAACTCTCAAAAAGTTGTGGAAAAATTTTTACACACCAAAAACTGCGAAATTTTTGAACTTGTTTCAGATTCTGCTCTATATCTCCCTAATCCATGCATTTCGTCGAAAGCTACTCTATACGTATTTTAAGAGCATCAAATTTGTGACAAATTAAGAGCGGGGTCTGTAAGCCTCGTAGTTCTCTCAAAATCGCAAAAAAAAAACCCATTTAAGGTAAAATCACATTTTTCCATAAATGTTCCATAACCTTTCCTATCTTCTCTTTTTTGGTTTAGTAATGAAAAGAAGGCATGAAATCATTTAAAGAAACGGTGATATGTATTTTAACATAAACATAAGTAATCAAAAGTACAGTAACGTAAGCAATCAATCAGTCAATCAAATTAGATACAGTCAAATTCATCGCCTTGTTTTTGATGGCCCTGGGCCGTTACTTTTGTTGCTCTCTTCAATAGGTATGTCTTCCACTATTGGTGGGTCGCCGTCTTCGTCCCCTATAGGTAGGTACTCCAGTATTGGTGGATCGTCAGGGTTGTCTTAAGACTCGTCATCGTCGTCCTCTTCAATGATGATAAGGGCAGCGTTCTGGCACATTTCCCCAGAGCCCACATCTGAGCCCTGCTTTGAGGCAAGTGCAGCCACCTCTGCACCCCTTCTTGCATTTGCAAGAGAGGAGTTTTAGGAACTCTGCGGGGGCAGGAGCTTGCCGACTAGTAATGGGATTGAGTCCAGCCGAGGTCAATTCCCAACCCCAGTCGGTGGCCTCTTTCTCCACCCCTAACCACTTTTGCTTAAACGTATACTTCCAGAAGAGTGGCAGAGGTGAGGCGGGTTGCGTCCAATTCTCCACCAGCTCATTCAACCAAGGGGAAGAGGAGCTACCACCTGGATTTGAACTTTTCATTCATTCGCATTTACTGGGTGCGACACCACCTCTGCCCTCTTCTGGCAGGGGAAGATGAAAATATGGGACCACTTCAGGCAAAATCAAGCCCTAGTGGACCAAGCAAGAGTTTTCTTCCATACAGATGCCACACACCAACAAGTCGCAGCAGCCGGTGACAAGTGCCTAGTTGCCCTATATGGAGGAGACGAAACGAAAAACACCCTCAACGAGGTACGCTTCCGTACTTTTGTGAAGACAGCAGCCAACGCCAAAGCGAATCTGGCCCGTTTGCCCCCAACCATTGAGGCTGCGTCGTATCACCACTACCGCACATACCACCAGGTGCAAAAGTGGGGACGAAGACGGCGACCCACCAATAGTGGAAGACATACCTATTGAAGAGAGCAACGAAAGTGACGGACCAGGGCCATCAAAAACAAGGCGACGAATTTGACTATATGTCTAATTTGATTGACTGATTGATTGATTAAGTTACTGTACTTTTGATTACTTATGTTTATATTAGAATACATTTCACCGTTTTTTTAAATGATTTCATGCCTTCTTTCTTTTTCATTACCAAACAAAAAACAAAAGATAGGAAAGGTTATGGGACATTTCTGGAATAATGTGATTTTACCTTATATGGATTTTTGTGCGATATTGAGAGAACTACGAGGCTTACAGACCCCGCTTAATTTAAAGGTAATGAAATTGCCTACAAATTATATTCTATAAGTTCTAATCGTAGGATCAATGGTTTCGACGCAATTTCGGTCCAAAGAAGGTCTAAAACTAAAATTTTAATTTTTTGGAAATACTGCCCTATTTTCAAAGTGCCGTAATTCGGTAACCAATTGAGCTACAGAGCTCCGGTTAGGCTTATATTTGTCACAAATTTGATGCTCTTAAAAAACGTATAGAATAGCCTTTCAACGAAAAATGCTTGGATTAGGAGATATAGAGCAGAACCTGAAACAAGTCCAAAAATTTCGCGGTTTTTGGTGTGTAAAAATGTTTCCACAACTTTTTGAGAGTTGAAAACTTGGGTATACATAGCCCTAATGGGTCCAAATAACATACTAAAAAATCAGAGATACATCATGTTTTGCGAATTTATTGTCGATTTTGACCGGTCTATATTGTTAATTGTTGTTTTCGTTGTTGGTAAATCATATTCGTAATATAGTCTGTGTATATAGTTATAGCGTCGCGTTCTGTTTGATCTTAAAAATGGATGAAGAAACTGTGAAAAAACTGTGTGTAAATGGAATTTTGGTTTGACCTTCTTATGTCAACATTAGGATATATCTATATATTATCTTTGTGGCATCTTTTTCGTTATTTTTCATTTTCTGCGAAAAATGTTTTAATTAGTAAAATAAACCCTTGCGCCAAAAGGATTAGATAAGGATTATTTTTATGAAAAAAAAAAAATCCTAACCAAAAAATCTAACACTGAAAGAAGCACTTTAAAAAGTTGTTAACGTTTCAAAAATCTATCTGTTTTCGTTTTCTAAAATTTTTGACTTTTCTTCATAGTAAGTAAAACGCATCCAGTGAATTTTAGAATAAAAAATTTAAATGCTACTAATATGGCGTATAAACATCGCACCCGAAATTAGCCGCACGCATATAATTCTAACAAACAATATCACAAATTTACTGCCTATAGTATAAGTATCTATAGTATAATAATACGAGGTCTGTTCTGAAAATAA